AAATTTACTTCTGGGTCAAAAAAAAAAAAGTATTCTAGTATGTTCCCTGTATCTCATATGTTTCCTTTAATTTTAAAAAAGGAGTTTTTGTTGCTATTGTATAAAATCTTTGTCTATATTATATTTTTAAATAAATTCATACTTATACATAGAAATAGAACTGATTTGCCTACCTTATATGCAGCTGCTCTTTTCCTGGGCTAACTTATTAGCAAATAAATAAATAATGTTCTATAGAAACTTCGTTGATTTTCTTTCATCAAGACATGGCCCAAAGCTTCTTTCTTAGAGACTTATTGAGTCTCCTTCTGGATTTGTTTCTAGTCACTAGTCTGCATACACTTCAGCTTATTTCCATCCTTCATGGTTTCTTCTGCCATCTGTTCTAGGACATATTACTGTGTCCTATTTAAATTCTCCTTCCACCTCTTGTTCCTGTAAGGCATTTAGCAAATCTGTTTGTGTAATTAAATTCCTGTACTCTCATTACTTTATAGACTAATTTTACAGCATTGCTTAGCTTATTTAATATTTCCATACCAGTTTCACCATTCTCAACAGGAAAACCATTGCATATCATTAATTCTATAACTTACAATTTTAGATTTTTGTGATCTGAATGCAATCTCCTTACCTTTTATTGATTATCTGACTAATATCAAGTTCCAAGTCGCCAGTTTTATTGAAGTCTTTGATTGGTAACTCTGTATTAAAACTTGGTACCATTAGAACATAAGATTTTATCTCTCTTGAAAATTATTTTTCTACACTCATTATTCAAGCAAAAGAGTCTCAGAATACAGATAGTTATCAGATTTTTACAGGTTTGTTTATACAAATATTCTCATTTAAAAAATCTTTTGGAATGTGTTTAACCAAAATTTTATGATCTTCTAAGGGTACTTAAATATCACATCGTCAAACCATTTGGCTGTAGCAGGCTTAAAAATCATTCTCATAATTTTGCACAAATCAGCATCTCACAGGCACCTACCCACAAAAGTTAAAAGGGGAGAGGGAGTTCCCATTCTGTTTTGTAGAAATACCATTGTCTTTTCCCTCAAAACACCCAACCTACTACAGAATAAGTCATCAAAGGAAGACAGAGGGTTGATCAGAATTGCATAAATTGTGCTTCAACAATAAACTATTCCAAATTTTTTACTTTTTGGTAGATTAAAAATGGTCACAATTGCTGTATGTGATGATGCATGCCTATAATTCCAATGGCTCAGGAGGCTGAGGCAGGAAGACTGCAAGTTCAAAGCCAGACTCAGCAACTTAGGGAAACCCTAAGCAACTTAGTGAGATCCTGTCTCAAAATAAAAAAGGGCTTGTGATATGACTCAGTGGTTAAGTGGCCTGGGTTCAATCCCTGGTACAAATAAATATATAAGTAAATACCAAAAAGGGGGTCAAAATTTATTTTGCTGTTTCTTGTTAAGTGATAAAATCCAATTCCTCTTCTCTCCATTAGGCTGGCCTTTCGTGCTTTGTTTCACCACTGGAATATGGTACAGGTGACATTTTCACATCTTTGAGTTGAGGTTAAGAAGCAGTGCAACTTCTAGTTGTATATGGGAGCTTTTGCTGTAGAGGTCTTAAGGAGGACACTCCCAAAGTGCCAAGCTGTAAGGAAATCCAAGATACCCACAGGGAGAGGATGTAGGATAAGAGAGATGTCTTATCAGTCTCATGTTATCCCACCAATCCTGTATCAAATGCCAGTTGTGAATGAAAAGATTTTGACTCTGGCCTTAGCTCCAAACATCTGCCACCACATGAACACACACACACACATCATCATCATCATCATCATCAATCCCTGGAACCATAGCGATGAGTTTTGGGTTGGTTGGTTATGTAGTAACAGCTAAGTTGAATAGGTTATCATAATGAATATTTCTTGCCTTTGTGAAGTGTGTTACCTTCTCATCACTGTGACCAAAATACCCTATAAAATCAACTTAGAGGAGGAAAAGTACAAGAGATTCCTTTTCTTAGTAGGAATCATGTATTTTTGTGTAACCATAAGTGCCCCACAATACGACCATTACAAACTTACTCTGGGGACCGAATCGCTTTCTCCTAGTACCAGATACCACTCTTCATTAAAATGTAAAGCAATATTTCACATATGAAAATCATGTACATGGCAAATTATCGTAAATCTTTGTGGATTAAAACACCAATATTTATTATGTCACAGTTTCTGTGGGTACAGTGCTCTGCTAAACTCTTGTCTTCTGGCTTTGGGTCACTCATCAGGCCCATGTATCTCAAATGTACTGGGGAAAGATTCACTTGTGGGTTACTCACATGGTTATTCCCAAGTTTCTGGTTTGGGCTGAGTGTTGGACTGAGGCCTCAGTTCCTCATGAGATATTGGCTAGAGACTTCCCTTAGTTTCTTGTCGCTTGAAGTTCTCTATACAGTGTCTTGGAGTGAGCAAGCAAGCAGGGAGTCTGAGCAAGAAGGAAGATCTGATATTTTGTAAGCTTGTAATAGAAGAGCAATGCCACCACTTTCATCATATTCTGCTAATTCAAAATGAGTTGCTGGGCCCAGTCCACACTCAAGAAGAGAGAATTACACAAGGGCCTGAACACCAAGAGATGAAGATCTTTGGGCCTGTGTCAAAAATTGTTTACCCCAAGTACTGCTATGAGGAGTGAATTCTGCTATTTTGGAGATACAAAGATGCCTAAGGTAAGACCCTTAACTTTGAAGAGTACCTGGTATGGATTGGAGAACTGAGGTGAGAGAGTGATAACTAAGTGTAAATGTGTTGAATCTAAAAGGGGTGTGGTAGAGTTACACATAAGTGTTATTGGATCTGAAAGGAGATAGCATCACATTTTGCATGGTCTATTAGAAGAACACTATGAGCTACACAACAGAGGTTAAATAATGGCTCACTAGGCAACTAGGGAAGAGAAGTGTTTAAGCAGAATAAAGATGCAAGGAGGCATCAAAGTACCAGTGTGCTTTGGGAAAGGAGGGTAGTTTTGTGTTACTGGAGCAAGGGAGATTGTGGGAGGCCATCCTTGCACGTGATTGAGGGAGATTGGAGAATGGTAGAATGTAAGCAGGTACAAATGAAGCTGAATGTGAAGGACATTACTTCGGGAAAATTAGAAGGCCTCAAAAGTATTACAGGGTATTATTGACTCCAAATAATAATAACCTCTTCTGGATTATACCATGTCATAGGCATTATACTTTTATTATCTTCGTAGCCACCTTTTAAAGCAGGTTCTATCATTATTTTCATGTAAGTTGAAGTTTGGTACAAGCCACAATCACATGGCTAGGAAGTGTCAGAACTGAAAGGCTGTCACAGTCTGACAGCAGCTGCTTCCTTTTAGGCTGCTCTATGCCTCCTCAAGACAAAGTCCTTTACACACATTCCTGCTATCTTGTTTCCTACCAGTCTTCTCTGTCCTCCTTCATCTGAAGGCCAAGAAATGCAATTCCTGAACACACAATTTGTAGTTGAGATAGGAAGTGCTCCAGCAGTGAGTTTCTTTTGTGCCTGAGATGATTTCTCCCTCTTGTTAACACAATAAACTATTTTCTATTGACTGTAGGATTGATGTATAACAGTCTTAGTAACATTCATTGCAAAGACATTTTTCTGATTTACAATAGTTTGTAAACTCTTTAGGGTTATATTTTGATGATAAGAGCTGTGTCTACTATCTAATACTAATTAACATCTAATTCAGACAAGCTCTTTTCTACAAGTAAAACTCATCTTTCTTACTTATATTACTGATTGGAGAGTGATTGCAGGTGCTTGAAGTACTCTTAGTGTGTCTAAGCAACCACCTCTTTTTTCAAGATCTAGTAACTACTCTACTGTTTCATGCTTTGTACACCTAGTAAACGCTTATAAAGCAACTTTGAAATCACTCACCCACGCTTTAATTGTAACCAGTCTTACATACTCAGGGTGTGGTGGTCCCACAGATTCATCTAATGTATTATCTGCAAAGAGATTTGGAAATCATTTAAGACTACAGCTTATTTTATTTTTTTTTTAAAGAGAGAGTGAGAGAGGAGAGAGAGAGAGAGAGAGAGAGAGAGAGAGAGAGAGAGAGAGAGAGAGAGAGAGAGAGAATTTTTTAATATTTATTTTTTAGTTTTCGGCGGACACAACATCTTTGTTGGTATGTGGTGCTGAGGATGGAACCCGGGCCGCACGCATGCCAGGCGAGCGCGCTACCACTGAGCCACATCCCCAGCCCATGCTTATTTTATTTTTAAAATTAATTAATTTATTTGTTTATTTTTAGCACAGGGGTTTGAATCCAGAGGCACTTTACCACTGAGACACATCGTTAGCCCTTTTTATTTTTATTTTTATTTTTTATTTTGATACAGGGTCTCCCTAAGTTGCTTAGGGCCTTGCTAAGTTTCTGAGGTTGGCTTTTGAACTTGAAGACTACTTTTATTTTAAGACACTAACAAAACTATAGCTGAGAGAAAGGTGAAGTTCATTGCGTTGCCAATGGCCATATTCTTATTAACTGATGCAACCATCTGTCAGTGCTCATGTTTTAATTTTCAATAAAATTAAAATATTTTAGTAAAAATTATATAAAATCGAATCGTCTAGTTTCGTCATCATCTCCAACTACGCGGTGATGCTTCAATGTATACATGCAGAAAGCACTTAAATTTTTCAGCGAGAAGCCAGCCCACCTGTCCCTCCAATTTTCAGTGACCTTAAGATTACTCCACAGCCCCCTGCTGCTATTTTAAAGACCATGGATTTTAAATGACCGCCACTTTTCTCTTTAGAGAAACGCACGCTCTCCAACCCGCTATTCCAGGGGCCTGAGCGGTGCTGGCACTAACTTAAACAACGTTGGGTCATCTGTTTATTTTCAGAGTGGCAGTCAGGGAGAAAGGGCGGCTGTTGCCATGGCAACCAACACCCCGGGCAACGGCAAGGCGAGGCGGGAGGGGGCGTGGCCTCGGCGGACGCAGGCSGATAAGAGGCGGTGCCGGCCGCCCGCCCGTGTCGCGAGCGGGGTCTGTACACACTGCCAGGCGGAGGCGGGGCGGCTGGGCATCTCCTCTGACTACCTGGTAAGGCCCCGCCAGGCAGGCAGGCGACCAGGCCTTGGCCCTGTAGTTTCCTTGGCCCACACTCCCTGCTGGGGTGTGTCGCTCCGCGCCCAACATGGCGGGCGGGCGCTGCGGCCCACTGCTGACGACGCTTCTGGCCGCCTCGGTTGTGGCATTGGCGGCGACCGAGGGCCCCGAGCAGGCCGTGTTGCCGGCGGAGCAAAGCCGAGTCCAGCCCATGACCGCCTCCAACTGGACACTGGTGATGGAAGGCGAGTGGATGCTGAAATTGTGAGTGTGCCCGCCCGCCCCGCTCGCCACATTATCCTCGCGGGCGCCACCTTCCCGCAACCCGCGTGGTCGGCTCGCAGAGTGGTCCGGCTTGGCTAGACCTAGGGCCGGGTACCCACCCTGCCAGCGACCGGCGGCGCGGGGGCCGACCTCCTTTGCGCATGCGCGCACGACCCTCCGCGCTGACGGCTAGGGGTGAAGAGCATCCCCACACTTTTCTCACTTGCTTTAGGGGAGATTGTTTCAGGGAGAGAGAATGCAGCTTACCAAGGGAAAGAGGGTGGAGGGGAGGAAATCTGCATGAAAACCGTGCCCTCACAGGAGCGAGTATATGTGTACGGGATAATTGGCAGTCATTCAGTGACATCATGTACAGTATGAATATGGAGGAAAGGATAGGTGACATTTGTGTTGAATAAGTTACAGCAGAATGGAGAAGGGAAACCACTTTGTACGAATGTCTTAGTTTTTCTTTTGAAGACCTTGAGATGTCATTGTGAGAATAAAACATTAACATGCGTGCATTTTAGTTTTAAAACAGGATTACAAATAAATGCTGATACTATATAATTTTTAGAGGTCAGACTCTTAGGTGGATTTAATAATTTAATTATGCTGACTTTATAAAGATAGGTGATTAACAAATTGTTCCTTTTAGCAACAGAAGGTAAAATGTTTTCAGTGCTTTTGCTTGAAAGAGATGGGCAACTGTTTTTTAGTTAGGAGAAGGCAGGGGATTTGTTGGTTGTAGCTTTCAATTAACTCTGAATAGTAAGGGAGTGATCATTTGAAAGAAGACTTGAAGTTGACAGAGGACAGTTGTTTGAATAGACTTGAGAGACCATCATGATGGGCTTTTAGGGAAAATGAAGTTCTGGAGAAATAATGGCTGAGACCACATCTCTGTAGCCTGTGGTTTCAGGCCATATATGTGTATATATATTTCCTAATATTTGATAATTAATTTTTCATTCAGCACAAAAGACTCAAAATTGGAACTGTCTTTATCCAAGACCAAATTTTGATTCTTTAGACTGCAATTTAGATTGCAAGCAGATGCCTAATAGAGTAAAAACAGTGTTGAGATGATGGACGAAGTTGTCTCTTAACAAGTTACATTGCTCAAAGAACATAATGCATACTATCTCTTCAAATTTGCATTTAGCTTTTGGTTACAAAAAAGGGAATATTTAGAACTCAAAACAAATGCCCTTGTTATCATAATAAATCAGTAAAACTGTTGGAAGAAAGCTAGAGACACGAATAACTTATTAAAGTAAACCGCTCCACTACTTTGGAAGGAAGTTAGGAAATCATATTTAAGAGAAACTTTTAAACTAAGTGGAACTTTATGTTAGAAATGCCATGTTTCCCTCGAATAACTATAAGAACTTTAGAGAAACTGCATTTTGCCAGCTAATACTACGGAAAGGTCTTTTTTTTCTAGTAGATTTTTACATCACGTTCTTTTCCTGGATGTTAATTTTCTGATTAAAACAGTTTGTGTATGTAGGTGATAACAGTCAAAGAAGAAAACCCTCATATTTAATGTTGCCAACTCCTCAGCTCCTTTGTGTTTTATGGTTTCTTTTGGAATTGCTTCTTCTTTTTTTTTTTTTTTTGGTAAGTCAGAGAACTAAGAACACTAAATCAATGGTGAGTTGAAGCCCCACTAAGTTTCTAAAAATGAGTGACAGCCAATAACTCTTATGTTTGGTTATGTTGATGGTTCACATTGTACCTTTTTATAAATGTATAAGCCTAAATGGGAGAGATCATTTGTGATAAGTTTGCCATTTGTCCAGTTGTCTGGTGTAAGCTTGGACTGTGATGCAAAAAGAGTCTTGTAACCTGGAAGTAAGCTGTGTACATATTGAGATCATTTTAGTAGGAGTTCTCTTTACATGGAGTATTCTGCAGAATTAGGGGATAGGAAATGACAGGAAAGGAAAGGATTCACCCAAATTACATTCCAATTTCTGCATACCAGAACCTCTTCAGAAATGTTTCCTCTGAATAAATACTATGGCTCTTGTCTATTTTTGATTTATTTTTCTATAATATTAGATGATACTCCCTCTCTTCCCTTTGGAAAAAATCCAACAGTATAAAAATTTAAGATTCATTATATTATTGATACCACTATAGGCCTATGACATTCTAGGGATTCAAACATTATCAGGTTTTTTTTCTCATTAGAGAAAAACAAAATGTGTTTAAGATACTTCCCAGATCAACACTGTGCTCAAGTGAACTGGTTTTATAATTGGAGGTAACTAGAATCTGCTGATGATGTGTTGAACTACCTAAAGAAGAAATGTTGGGAAACTTTCTCATGGTATTAAATGTTTGATAAGGGGGGGTAGGGCTGTTGCTTAGTGTGAGAGCACTTGCCTGGCATGTGTGAGTTACTGTGTTGGATTCTCAGCACCATATATAAATAAATGAATAAAATAAAGATTCATCAACATCTAAAAAAATTTAAGAAAAGAAAAAAGTTTGAGAATCTAACATCACTTTGAATGACAGTTCTTTATTCATTTGCTTATAGGGAACTTTTCTTCTGGGAATCTGCTGTTCTATATCTCATGTCATATAAAGCCTCTGTAATGCAATTTATGGTTATATTTGTGCTGTTAATTTCATTTAGTTTTAAGGAACTACCAGTGTTTGCCTGGCTCTGAGACATGAAAAGATCCAAATACAAAATTCAATTTGTTATATTGTCTGTGTCTTTCAAACAGTCAATTTTGGGGATCCTTGTAGCTGAATTTCCAGTTTTAGAAAAGCAGTGCTGTGTTAAAGAGAAATTATCAGATAAGAATATATTTGCAGTAATTCATTTCTATTCTGAAACCTTTTTACAAATCTGCAAAAGAATTTTATTACTGCTTATATTTTCTTTAATGCTAAGGGCTTACTGTATTCTCTGTTTTCTCTTTTTGTTTGCTTTCATATAATCATTTTATAACACTCATCCATTTCTGCCACAGCACTACAACTGGCTTGCTGTGCTTTTTTTTTTTTTTTTTTTTTTAAGATCTTCCCATGTTTTCTTTTCTTTTTTATGTTGTGTTCCATTCGGTTGCTTTGCAACCTTTTGCTGTTTTAAATACTTGCTTGGCTTCCATTATGTCAGTCCTTGAGAATACCGCTTTTATTCTTTTGAAACACAAGAGTATGTAATATGATACACTCTGTATACTGTTTTGGTATCTAAACAAAGCAGATAAACAAGCAGATATCCAAGTAGCTTATTTTTGACCTGCTTATCGCTAAACCAAAATGCAATGAAAAAAGATAAAAATATTTGAGTTAAATTACATTACTTCTGTAAATAAAATCAGGTTGATTTTTATAAAATACTTTTTCTGACCTTGTTCTTGGGCTGCTCATGTTTCAAAACAGATTAGACACCTGGTGATGGAGTAAAGCCTCATTTATTTGCTTAGGACCTCTAGATTTTGGAATTTTCTTTCTAGTATTCTTCTCATGCCTAGAGGGTGTATTGAACATTATTTCCTTAACTTATCTGTGTCAAGTAGTTGTCATTTCCTGCAGTTTATAGATTGTCTTGATTTTATTGATTCACTGTTAATGAGGTAGTTGCTTAAATTCTTGTTGTAGATTCGTTACAGGGTTGAAGACTTGGGAAGGTGGAGATGAATGAGCTACAACCTTGATTTTAAGGGACTGGCATTTTATAATGCTCTGAAGGAAATAAATAGCATAAGTTACATTCATTTCATTTAGCAAATGTTTGCATGTCTCATTGTCCTTCTCACTTCTATGAATGTAGTATGAAATACTAGTGAGATTGGAGTGAAGACAGAAGAAAAATTGTCCATTATTGGTGAATAAAAACTTATTTTTAATAAAAATTCCATAAAATAAATTTAAGTCCTCCCTCTGAAATGTTTAGTACACCTAATGAAATTGAATTTGGTGACTTCATACAATAAACGAATCATCACCGTGCATCTAGCAGAACCTCAGTGTACTTTGTATATTAATACTACCATAGATAACAATGGTGTGCCCAGAAATGATTAAAAACATTAAACTTATATCCAAGTTATGTAATTTAACAGCATTTTGGTTATCTGAAAAATATTTCAGATGTCTTTATGAAGCTTTGTAATTTTACATATCACTGTGACTTGCAAAATGTTTTAATAGAAAATATGTTGACCTAGTTTCCAGGAATACAATGGTATACTAATTCCCCATAGAGACTCTGAAATCAAAGAGGATTACGTTATGTGTAAAGGACACACTTACTGGCAGATAAGATTTTTTTATAGTTCTTAAGAAAAGACTGCTACTATGAGGTAACTTTTTTTTTTTTTTTTCAGTATTGGGAATGGAACTCAGGGACTAGAAAATGGTAGGCAAGCCCTCTATACACTGACCTGTGTCCCCAGCCTTTTAATCATTTTTTAAATTTTAAGACAAGTTTTCCCAGGATGGTTTGAACTTTTGATTACAGACATCTGCCTCTGTGCCTGTCTCCTTGTTTTAAACAATGTAAAGAAAGACCATGTTTGGTTCTTTCCAAGGAGTTTTATTTATGCTTACATGCACATGTACATAAATAAATTATATATATGTATATGTGTGGGGAGAGAGAAACGCAAAGATCACATGGTATATCTATTCATTCATTTTACCCCTGTCAATATTTTATTTATAATAGGTTTTAAATTCTTGTTTAAATCATTATCCCTTATATACAGAAGAATACAGGAGTACACATAATTTTAAAAGCTGTGGCAACAATGGGTCAGTTCTCTTACTTAACCCAGAGCTGGCTTATCTCCACAATTGAAGGAACATGTTGGTGTATTTCACCACAACCAGCTCTGACTAAATATCAGAAATAATGGCTTTGACAATCCATAGCCCAGTGGTAGCAGCAACATAGAAAATGGAATAACTAAAATTACTTCAATGGCTTATCTGATGGTATATCATAATTGCATATCTGAATACCAGTTTCACCAAAAATCTAATTTACATAACAGTCTAGAGACTAAGGGCTTGATTTTTTAAAACTTGTGAAATTTGCAAGGTTTAATAATTAGCAATGTAGCACATGTATGCAAAGACAGAGTCCTAGAGAAATTGAGCAGAGAATATCTAAAATCCATTAAATTGTCCTTCAAGGGTTTTTCCTTATTTTTGTACATTCTTTCTTATGCCTTCTACCTCTTTCCCTCTGAATGTTGGTGTTGATGTTGTCTTTTTGTTGTTGTATCTTGAAGATTTTTTTTTTTAATCACAGATACCTCCATCTGTGTTCTTGCTTTAAGTGGTCTTAAGACTTAAGCAAGTCTCTCTAAACCYGCTTTCTCTCTTTGTCAGCAAGGATTTGAAGTTCAGATGAGCTGAGGTGAGGTATCATAAAAGTTTCTTGGAAACCTAGCAGAGTATTGCAAATGTAGTTTGTGTTAATGATCATTCTTACTGTGTGCTTGCTTTGTATGTATCATTTAATCTTCCAATAACCTTGTAAGGTAGCTCCTGTTACTATCTCATTTTATAGTTGAGGAAGGTTAAGCATGGAAAGATTATTAACCTGCCCAAAATCACATGGGTAATTCATGGTTGATCTGATTCCTGTAGCAGAGCTCTTATTCAAAATCCTTAAATGCCTATTGAAATATTCTGAATGATTTAGTGTTCCTTTTTCTTTAAATTTTGCCAACTGCCTAAGACTCATCTGCCTTTTGGATATTTAGAAGTTATATAGAAAATAACTGTTTTTTTTCTATGAAGAATGAAAATGAAATTTTTACTGAAGTTTATACATTTGCTTATCCAGCATACATTTCTAGATCACTTACTGTGTAGCGGGAATATACTTTGCCCTGGAAATATAGAGATAAAATTTTTTTAAAAAAATCCATGTTAAAAAATGTTACAGGAATGTTCTCTAGCCCATGTCTTCTAGATCTTCTGTAATGGGAAGACTAATGATCTTTTAGAGCGATCTTTGGATTAGCTAGAATAGTCTTTTCTAGAGATGTCATTAGGGAGTTTGGCTAGTCTTGCTGCTTCTGGGGCCTGATTGGATAGAGGTTTGGGCATCCTATTTCTTCTGATTTCTGCTTAATTTCCAGTATTTTACCTAAAATAAATGCATCCTTTCCCCTAGTCTTGGCTTTTTAACATCCCCACCCTACCTTTTTATAATGTGAAATATTAAAATTTTTCCTGATTGCAGTTTTTTTTTTTTTTTTTACTTTGTTGTTGTTCTGCAAAGTGCATGTGTATAATTGCTTTGATTGTTTGAATGGAACTTTGCACAGTTCAAGATTTTAAAAAGTCTTGCGTGCACAGGTGATCTGACATCCCTTTAACCCTAAACCTTATTTAAAAATTGGATCAATTTACTACCTTTCCCCTTTACTCTGTTTCCTTTCCTAGGACTTGGTGTATGTGTTTGTTTTTTTGGCAGGCATTTTTTTCCTACTTCTTTTTCTCCCCTGCCTCTTCCCTCTTAATGCAGAAATAATTTTTGTGAAAACGATTTTGTAAAAATAATTCTGGAATTGAAAACATAAAAAATAAATTGAGCATTTTATAATGTTCACCAAAAACTTGGTTATCTCTTCAAGTCTTTTAAAAAATATTATTAAAAAATCTTACTACACAAAAATAGAAGTTGTGTAGTAAATTCTCATTTTACCCATCATTCAGGTTTAGCAGTTATCAATACCTTGTCAGACTTGTTTCATCTGTACTTTCTGTCCATTATCCTTTGGTGGTATAATTTTTATACTGTGAGACTCATTACATGTGATGAATCTAGGGATAGCAATTCTTTCTTATGTCTATTTTATTTATTTCCTCAATATTTTGACATGCATTAAAGATTTGTTCAAAAGTTTAAGTAGATTAAAAAAATATGTCTAGTTGGTGGCATCCTGAAATGTTACTTAAAATGTGCCCAATGATTTATTTATTTTTGCCTGGAGTATCCTGTTCTATTTTGTGAGCACTAATTATTTTATTTTCTATTGTTCTGGGAATTATTCAGCAAAACCAAATGTTTCTCCACTTGTTCCAATGTATTTTTGTGCCATTATTCTGAAAATGTTAATTTTCCTTTTAATTTTGTCATGATAGTATTTTGAATGTATTTCAAGCATATGGTATTGTTTGTTCACAATATTTTATATTAAGCATAATCCTGCAAGCTTTGTTAAGTCTCTATACAGCTTGTTTGATCTAACTCCTTCTAATTTCAAAGGATATCTTCCTTTCTCTATTAGTTTCTTTGATCTGCTGTCACAAATTACAGACTGGGTGATTTTAAACAACAGAAATTTCTCACCTTTCTGAAGGTCAAATTTCAAAGGCCAGCATGCAGCAGGGCTGGGGGACCCTGTAGGCTCTGTAGGAGTGTCCCTTTGGTGCCTCTATGATGTGGCTGCTGGCATCCCTGAGTGTTCCTTGGCTTGTAGCTATATTACTCATTTCTATGCCTCCAATCTCACATGGTCTTCTGCTTATTTATCTTTATCAAAGCTCCCTGTTCTTCCTCTTCAAACAACTGTTATTGGATTTAGAGCCCATCTTAAATCAGAATGATCTCATCTTGGGATCTTTAATTATATGTACACAGACTCCTACTTACAGTAAGGTCATATTCATGAATACCAGGGCCAGCACTTGGACATGTCTTTTGGGGGAATATTATTCAACTGACAACACTTTCTGAGCAGCAAACTTCTCTGAATTCTCATCTTAACAATTGCAGATTAAACCCTGAAAAAAATTTAGAGCTTTGTAGTATGTATCTTTATGGTGTTTTCCAGACATGGGAGGGCAAGGTGAAGCCACTAATGTATTGTCTCAGGGCTGTAAGTCTTCACACATATTGTTTTTCTCTGCTAAGGGTTGAACATTCTTTGTCCCCTCCCTGATGGTATTCCTGTTTTAAATCTTTCTTAGTGGCTCTTTCTGAGGTACCCAAGCTCCTCAATGTCACTATAGCATCTGTTCAGCATTCTCAATCATAGCATTTGTCACTTTGGTTGTATTTACCCATCTGTATCTTCTCTTCACCCCTGGATAATACAAACCACAAGGAAAGGAGACACCACATCTGTCCCATTTACTGTTGTGACCTCAGCTTTTAGTAGAGTGCTTAATATTTTTTTTATGTAAACATTAAATGTAAATTAATATTTTTTATTGAATAAGAAATATATATAAAAAGTGGGATTTCTGCTTGAAGGCCCAAGTATTTTTAACTCTTTTTCAATTTAAAAAAAGTATTGTATAGAACTTTTCCTTTGCTTCTTGGAATGATTCACAACACAGATATTCAGATGTTTGGAAACATGCTTGAGGACCCACTAATGACAAAACTTCTGGCCTCTCCCTAGTAGATCTACAGTTTTGATGGATCTGAAACTGGTTTGTCATAGGGGTAACCTTGTGAAAATTACTTTCCTTTAGTGGGGCACTCAAAGTGCATTCATCCTCAGATCAAAATATATTTAGAAAGTAACAAAGTTCAGTTTGAAGTGTAAGAATAGTATCGAAACATTTTATATATAGCAATAATTCCTCAAACTTTGACTAATTTTTCCAATAGAATTGATATTCATGTATTAAATTCTAGAGGGAAAATATGCTTCTCTTTTTCTATTTTAAAGGACTTTGGAAAAGCTTGATTTTTATACTTCTCTTTAGTTTAGAATTTATTTTTTCATTTAAATATTCTATTCCTCTATTTTTTCTTATAATTTTTTTCCATATATTTGTGCTAATTAACTATTCTTCTCTTCTAGTTATGCCCCATGGTGTCCATCCTGCCAGCAGACTGATTCTGAATGGGAGACTTTTGCAAAGAATGGTGAAACACTTCAAATCAGTGTGGGGAAAGTAGATGTCATTCAAGAACCAGGTATTGTAAATGTTGAACATATATGCAAAAAAATCACTTTTTATTTTGTAATTTTTTTAAAGTTTATTGAAAAGTTGGGAGACTAGGACTACCTTAAATCATCAGATTACATTTTAGCACATCTGGGTCTGTCTATGTATGTGCATATGTATTTGTATTTTCTGAGACATTGGCAGTAAGTTGCAGGCATCATGACAGTTCATGCTTTACTGCTTCACTTCTTTATCATGTAAAATCTTCCGGATTACTTCCCATGGGTGAGGGGGAGTGAATCAAGGTTTTCAACCTGCATTTGTATTGTTCTGTGTTTTTAGTCTCTCTCAATTTAGAATAATCCCTTTTTTCTTTCATGACATTAATATCTTGATGAAGATAAGCCAGGATTTACCTATGTGTTTCTTTTCTTTTTTTTTTTTTATTGTTGGTCGTTCAAAACATTACATCTAACTTGAAATATCATATTTCACAGTTTGATTCAAAAGGGTTATGAACTCCCATTTTACCCCATATACAGATTGCTGAATCACATCAGTTAGCAGTGATTTTTAAATCGTACATTATTTACATCATTTGCAGTCAACATTTCAACTCTGACCAGTTATACTTTGGTGTTTCTGATGGCTCTCAATTTCCAGTCCAGTATCATTCACTGTCTTTAGTTATCATCTCTCTTTAGACTCCCTTAATGAGGAATTGTTCCTGGCTCTTGTCCCCTGTCTTACTCCTCATCATACAGTAGGGCACATACTAGTTATATCACCAAATGACTGATGGCTTGATCTGATGTATGGCTTAATGTTTCCTCTTTATTAGATTAAAGTTATGCATTTTTGACAAAAATTTCATAGAAATCATACTGTACTCCTCACTGCATCACACTGAGAAGCACATTTTGTTTTAAGTTTTTTTTTGTTTATTTTGTTTTTATTCACATTTTTGGCAATGCTCACTTTTGATCATTCCTGTAAGGTGGTATTCTCTGTTTCTTCACTTTAAATAAAAGTAGTTAATAATCCCTGGATAATTAATTTGCAATATGTTAGAAGATCCTTTAAAAATCACATATTTAATTCCTCCTT